CACCAAGTGACAGAATCAGTGACTGCCAGCCAGGGATAAATGGAACCATCTGGCAAACATCTGAGCACCATCACAAGGGCACTCTCTCAGATGGGCCACTGGGGAAAAAAGACAGTCAAAGGCAAGACACCACACCCTCTAGCAGAAATCACTGAGCAGTATGTCAGTTGAATGGGAGCACACAGAAGCAGGGTTTGGCTTTGAGGAAAATGTTCTCTAAAAGTGGGAACAAAATTAGGACAGTCATTTGGTGGAAGCCAACAGAAACCAGGTCAGGTCCCAAGAGCAACTTGACTCCCTAGAACATGACATCGATTGGCAACCTACAACCTGCAGATCTGGCCCACAGCGCCGCTCCATCTCGTGCAGAGCCGGGGGTCTTCAGTGCTGAGCAGCTTTGGTGGCTGGGGGACGGGGAAAGGGGCTTTGTCCATAGTGTAGCTGGGTAGTGGGGGGACGTGGTAGCAGCAGTAGCAACAGAGCAACAGTTGGGTCCTAGTGCCAGCCCACCTTGTACCTGAGCTGGGTCATTCTGGTCCACTACCCAAAAATGTTGCCAACCTCTGCCCTAGAAGAAAGTAAGTTGGTTCCCTTCTGGCCCTGTAGCTTTAGAGGGTGGCCTATCTAAACTGGGGTGTAGAGAAGCATACATTTAAAGGAAACTGAATATGCAGGTAGGCTGTCTGTTGTTTTTAAACACTTTATCTAATTCTTTGTTGCATCTGCTAATACACACACTTGTTTTAAGAAGCATTTGGTCATTAAATCGCTGGTCACAGGCTCCTGAAGGCGAGAAATGTAGCCATTCCCATAAATGTGGGGAAATGTGAAATCCTCCTGCAATCCCCTAGGTACAAATAAGGGTTGAGGCCTAACACCTGGTAAGGTGCACCAGAAAGGAGAGAGAAATGCAATCAGTCCTTTAACCATGGTAATTGCTCTTAGCCATTTGTCTCAGATCTTCCCCCTGTTATATAGGCTTCCCCCTTAAAGATAGATTGATTCTACAGCTGCTACTGGACATTCAGGCTCATGAAGTTACCAAGAGTGCTCCTTATCATTTGTAACTGTAATATTTTTTTTTCAGCTGCAGACCTCATCAATCTCCCCACAAGGCCTGTACCAGTATTTTGGAACAGTTTTCTGGCTTCATAAGCCTCTGAGTTGGTTTGTCAAAATGATAGTGTCATGATACTCATCCAGTCATGAAACAGAATATTGAACTCTAGCGAACTCTACTGAAAGTCCCTGTGGAGGGGGTTGATGACATAGTATATTATCTTGGTAGAACAGCAGTGCTGTGCTGACTCTTCTGGGGAGGGCTCATATAGGCTCTAGTTCCAAGAAATCTCTTGCAAAAGTTGGGAAAATTCTCACATCTAACTCGGTTATGTACAATTCTATGGCCTGTGCCATGCAGGAGGCCATGCTGGATGATCTAAATGTTGATGATCGTCAGGCCTTAAAAATCTATTAGTCAAAGCTGCAACTGTATGTAGTTATTGTGTTCTCCTGCAGATCATTGTAAAAACTTGGATTATACAGTCAAATCCTGATTTATCAGTGAATTTTCACACTAATTAGCATCTGGCAGTAAGTTAAACAGTGAGGAATCTGTAACTGGCTGTGGATCATATAACTGCCTCTATGAAGGAGTCCACATATGAAAAAGTTTCTCTAGACCTATTTATTACATGTCTTCTGCAGGGGAAAAATGCTAGAATGTACCCATGCCAAGGTAAAGGGTTAAGATGTTACAGCTGATCACTTAGTTTCCTTGAAGTAGGGAAGCCGAGTGAAAAAGGAATGGAGTGTATGCCCCCGCTCCTGTCTTGCAAAGGCAGGGAATGCCTATAACAATCATTGCTTTTTGTTTTTCAGTCAATTTTCTTTTGTTTTGTGATACTTTTGTGTGCAATAAAACAAGTCCCAAGAAAGGAGTCTAAAAAGATTCATGTTTGTAACTTCATTTCTCTTCCCTGGTTTGGTGAAACTGTCCAGTAATTTCTGGCACCTTTATAAGAGACTTACTCAAAGGTGTCTTGTATCTGCACCTGTATACGCAAATGACTGGCTCATGAACCAAGTGCTGGTGACATTTACTAGAATACATTTATTTTGAACAGTAGAAATAAAGTCTAAATCCATCCAATGAGTCACTAAAGAATTCCTGTATGTCATCTCTGCCTTGCTAATGCATATCCTCGCCTACATTTTATAGGTTCTATTCTTTGCTGGCCAAAGCAGAAATCCCTTTATTTGTTTGGTAATACCTATCATGTGATGGATTGCAAATTATGTTTTCAATTTAGTCTGTCCCTGGAGCAATAACACAGATTCAGTAATAGGAACTAATCTGATAAAAAGAAAATTAAGCAAGTGCCACTTAGGAGGTAAAGTTCAAAAGCACACCTGGCTAGGCAGCCTGACCTCATTTAAAATCAGCCACACAGCTGAGCTTACTACACCTGGAAGTACTAATGTTATACTTCTTTCCACTCAGCAGTGACACAGTGAGCATTTCTGCATTGTCTATATCACAAATGTGAACAGCAAAAGTAGGACTGCTGCCATGGAAACATTACCTGATGCCCTTTGTTAGTGAGTTCATTCCTACTTGAATACAAGCTAACTCAATCCTGCAGAATAACGGGCTGATCAAGTATAGGCATAAAGCTTCCATACAAGACTACTGATTATTAACGTTAATGAATGCCTTTGACATTGCAATTCTAGTAGTCATTATTCTTGTCCAACCTCATTATTAGATAAGCACAGGGGAGCATGCATTAAGATACATTTTGGAGTGCAGCGCTACAGCCAATTTAAGACCCTGCTTATTGTACAGGTTCTACAAAAAATTTACTAGTTTAAATAAAAATATACTCAAGTAAACTAAACCTGTGCAGCTATAGGGCTGGGAAAAGCAGGGGAGGGTGATTGGAGGCAGGGGGCACTACGTGTATGTGCACATGCACATGGCAGCCAAGCAGCGGTGGAGAGTAGCTCCTGCACCCAGTGAGGCATGGCAGTGGTGGCAGCATGGAGTTGTGCCCCCTGCTGCAGAGCAGGCAGGGAGCACCTCAGCTTGGTGGCCATGGTAGTTTGGCACTCCCTCCCACACTGAGTCCTGCTCTCTGGGCTGCAAAACCCCCA